AGGCTCTTTTTATGTGTGTGTGTGTGTGTGTGTGTGTGTGTGTGTGTGTGTGTGTGTACGTACCAGAGGGCTAAGAAGCCAGGCATGGGCAGATGGTCTACAAAGGTGTTACCACACAGTGAGTGGGCACTGCGATTGATGCATTGCAACATCCAAGAAGGTGGAACATTTGGCTGCTGACCCGCAGTCAGAACTCATTGGCCCTGCCTTCTCCTTATTTAGCTGCTGCGAGAGAGCCGACGGCTGGTTTGGTCAATAAACACACACACACACACACACACACACACACACACACACACAAGAACGCAGCACTTTCCCACCCTCAAGGAAGCCTGCATGGGCTTGAGTGCTGGAAACTTCTCCGCCGTCTCTGCAAGGAGGTCAGGGCGGTGGTGTAGGCAGGCAGGGCCAGCACGCGCTGGAACTCAGGGTTACTGTGTTACACTTGGATGGAGGAGATCTGACCCCGAGCTCATTCTGAGGCGTCTTTGTGAGTGAAGCAACTCCATACGACTCGATTTTTGCAAGTAACACTTAGGTTTGTTCGCCGTGCTGTAAATTTCCATTGGTAAAAATGTCAACTTTAAACTCCACGTGAGAAGCTGTCACTTAAGCTTAAAAGTGAGATTTTACTCCTGGGGTGCAGGAGAATGGTAACACACCGATTTGAGAGGCACATATGTCATTTCTATAAAAAATGTGATTCTTTTTGCCCTGCTATCAGGAGCTGAACCATATCGTCATATATGAGCTGAGCAAAAACTCTTTGTGTGGAAAAAGAAGCAGACGATTATGAAGAGGAAGCTGCCAGAGTTCAAAGATGGAGCACTCTCTTTAATAACAAACATTATTAGTTATGCACACGGCACGCCTTTTATTTCAGACCCAAAAGCGCTCTTACATCAGCTGAAACATGGAAAATTCATGAGTGAGCGCGCTAACCAAAGGCAACGTAACGGATTTCAAACACAGTGATTGCTATTTGTCTCTCGGTGTGCTTTAAATCATTTGGTCTCCTGCAGAAATAATACCTGCCTCTGCTCGCTGTTCCAGTATCTCCTCCATGGTTTTAACCTCAACGTTACAGACTGACAAATGTGTTTTTCTTACAGCGTGTTTAATTCTGCAGATACATATCTTTATTTGTAAATAATTGTCTTAACTTGAAGTTGCATTGCAGCTTTGAGTTTAAATTCTATATTATTAACGGCTGCTGAAAGCATTATGGTGTAAGGCGTTGTCTTGGTCATTTGGCACTTCTCTTTGAAATATGCAAACAAAACTAAGATTGACACATTTAAATAAATCTGGATTTTATTAATTAAAAAAAATGATGATATATAGCTGATGCTTAATTTTAGACAGCTTGCTGTAATGGCGTGAACTGGCATAGAGTGCCCCCTTATGGACATATCTGGCAACATCAACTCTTGAGTATAAGATTTACCTTGTTTTTAATGTAATGTTAATGTGAAGAACTTCACGTCAGAATAGTTAAATGGTCACAAAATAAAACACTAAATCTAAGAAGGAAAAGAAGACACGCAAGTCCCACACCGACCTCCAAAGCCTCATCCGTCTCTGCTCTGGACTTCAAATTGAGTCAGTCATCATCCACCACCATCACGTTCCCGGTCACCTCGTACTCCATGGTGGACCAGTCGAAGATATTCCCTTTGGGGACTTTGTGTCCGTAGTGCCAGCCCTGGATCATGCTCCTGGAGAGCACATAGTCCCACATATTCAGATCCGTCATTTCCCCCACAAAGCTCTGCGTGGCCTCCAAGCCTCCCAGGTGTTTGTCTGGATCTTGCCCCAGGAGGACGGTGCCCTTCGGACGGATGGTGTGGCCAGGTTTGTAGACCTGGTAGGTGCTACGCTTCCCGTCCACCCAAAAGGCGGCGAGGCCGGTGCGCGACTCCCAGGTGAGGCAGAGGCTGGTGCGGAAGGTGGTGAGTGGGGGCAGGTGAAAGAAGACGCCGTCGCCGCTCAGGTAAAAGGAGATGCGGCCGTCCTTCTCGCGCCACACGTTGAGTTCATCGTAGTCGGCTGTGCGGTAGGCGAACAGGATGATCTGGCGCTCCTCCGGCAGCTCGGTGGCCACACGCATGCAGAGGGTGAAGGCCTTCAGCCCCATCTCCTTCTGCGGGATCAAGGCCACGTAGCTGAAGTCCGTCTCATAGGGGAAGACCAGGACTTTGTCGCTCAGACCCACTGCGGTTAACAAGACGATAAATCTGTGAGTTTATTATGACATACAGGTACGATTATGCAAAGCTTTTCTAATTGTTCCAATGAAGGTGAGATAATAAAAGTAATTTTTTTAAGCTGTTTTTAATCTATTGCTGTTTTTAAATTGCCTATCAGTACACAAGGCTACCAGATTCTCAAGCTTTAAAACAACCGCGAATTAGTTCAAATAAATGCAACATATACACTCATCGGCCACTTCATTAGGTTCACCTGTTCCCTGCTACTTAATGCAAATACATCAACCAACCACAAAGTTGCAACTCATTTCATTTAGGTATGTGCACATGGTCATGGTGAATTTCAAACTGAGCATCGGAAAGGATAAGAAAGGTGACTTAGGTGACTTTGAACGTGTTTGTTGGTCTAAGTGTTTATACAAACTGCTGAGAAGTATCTGAGAAGTAAGGATGAAAGTGAGTCCAACCTGGAACTAACAGGGTGTACCTAATAAAGTGGCAAGTGAGTTCATCAAAAAAAAAATTTTTGTAAACCTGGACTAAATGAGCAATAGTTTTTAAAAGATAGCAGGTGTACCCGATTCAAACAAATTTGATCATTAAGGGCTGAAAACGACTGAAACAAAATGTTCTACTGTTGGAGATTTGAAGGAAGAAAAAACTCACTTTAATTTTAGAGCACAGACATTAATTTAAAGATGCAACGTGAAACGAGATATGTCTGTGGACATCTGGCAGTCAGTTGTATGGAAAGACAAAACCAGTCTGTGACTGTCTGGACTCACAGCATTTCTTATGTTAAGGCCTGCACACCAAAGCTCGGTCATCACTACGCTTTCCAGCAAATCAGTAATCCTGTTCTTATTCCTTCAGTTTGAAGTATAAGAAACGAGCTGGGAATATTGGAAGCTTATGAGAAACTACCAAAAACCTTTATTTATTTTATTCAAAACTGACTTTGTATGATTAAAAGGAATAAATAGCTTGATCAATCTCTAGCGATGGGTTTTGTTCACAAACTTTGGTAAAATGACTTTTTTTTTTTGCCTATAAAACGTAGTTTTTAAATCCATACCTTGTGTGGATGAGGAGAAAGTCACAAGCAATAAAACACCCAGCAGAGCCTGACCAAACTTCACAGCGTTGTCGCTCTGCAACACACGAACAAGCATCTGACAGCAGCTCCGGACTGATATCAATTACTGAACTATATTAAAAAAAATGTAAGTATGTGCAAAATTACCGAGAAAAACTGATTTTCTTACCATTTTAATGTTGTGTTGTTGATGTTCTCTGCTGCCAACTCTTTCCCACTCAACAGTGACCCGTGCCTGGTCCTCTTCCCTCCTTGCACAGCCCCTGACGTCAGCTCTTTCAACGATGCTCTGACAATAGGCCTGGTGTGTGAGGGCTGAGTGACACCGTCTGTACATGTGACTGAGCCACGCTCACCATCAACCAGCATGAAGTGTTTGCATCAGAGCCTCTAGCATGAACGCATGAAAATTACAGCAGCTCTTGCATCAGACAAACCTTAAAGGTTTTCAGCTGGTGGACCATTCGTTGTTACACGGGCTTTAGACTGTGAAATACTTGGTTATTTGTTGATTTTTCATAACAATTTCTAACTCCTTCCTTTCCTCCCTCACCAGGTCGGGGTTGCAGTTGGGCACCCTTGGATAGGTTGCCGGTGTGTTGCAACACTGCAATTTAGTTTCGTCCAGGATGCACCCCACCTCTCCTCTTACGACGGCTGGAATAGTTTTCCCTTTGACTGGAAGAAAAAAAGATGGATAAACAGGTTTTTCAAGAACTGTGACAGAGCAGTGGATGTTAGTTACTGCCCCTCAGCCTCCTGGCAGTACACTCGCTGCGTGGCACAAACCTGCTGGAAGTACAAGTTAACAGCACATAATTAGCAGGTCTAGATAGATGTTAATGCGCATGACACTTTGTATGAGTAGACTTGAGTTAAAAATGGCACAAAAAAAAGTTTTCAGTAGCACACACAAGTTTCCAAAAGTAACTAACAAAGTACTTTAAATAAATACTTTCTTTACCCATGTGATCTGGACCAAGATAAGCAGTAGAAAATGGATAAATTATCAGCCTCAGCTTTAAAACTATGGTAAATGGCCTGTATTTATATAGCGCTTTACTAGTCCCTAAGGACCCCAAAGCGCTTTACATATCCAGTCATCCACCCATTCACACACTGGTGATGGCAGCTACATTGTAGCCACAGCCACCCTGGGGCGCACTGACAGAGGCGAGGCTGCCGGACACTGGCGCCACCGGGCCCTCTGACCACCACCAGTAGGCAACGGGTGAAGTGTCTTGCCCAAGAACACAACGACCGAGACTGTCCAAGCCGGGGCTCGAACTGGCAACCTTCCGATTACAAGGCGAACTCCCAACTCTTGAGCCACGATCGCCCCATCTATGTAGGTTTTAATGCAGATTTCACAATTGTAAAGAGACACTGAAAGCTGCTATCTGAAATTCAAAAACAGGGAAATTGCGCAATGCAGCAGGAAGAAAATCTAAACATCTTTCATTCTCATGTAAAAAAAACCCAAAAAAACCCCCCACCACTATCGAATCAAACCACAGCCTACTACAGACGCAAACGCACAGTGATGCCTTAAAGAATAAAAACCAAATATAAGATTCACCAAATCAGCATTTATTGCAGGATTAAAATCACGAGCTGTAAAGCTGAAGTTTGTGTGGTGTTGTTTAATGAATTTTTGTTTGTTTAAATAAACAGAAACACCAGAACAAACGACCTCGTAGTTCACGGTTTAATGGGGACAAACAAAAACTGAATCAGGTGTTTATGTTATCAACATATCTACATTTAATACAGTTTCTCAAGCTCTAAGAGTTCAAGAAAAAAAAAAGAAAAAGAAAAAGAACATGACAAAAAAATGAATATTTTGTCAAGAAACAAAACCTGAAATACACCAGCAAATTATGTACACCACCTGCAGCCCAATACAATCCACTAGCAGGCCTAATTCAACACAGACACATTCAGCTGAAAAAGCCTGTAAACTAACAGCACTCGACTAAAAATGCGGTTTACAGAGAGAGACTGAGGTACAGATGAGATACGGTTTTGTAACTCTTCCAGCATTTCTGTGAAACGGGTCGGGGGGCCACGATGCTGGGGAACTTTAACTTTCTCAAACTTTAAAGTTAGGTTCACACAGGCGATTGGTTTCCGCAAGCTTCTGCGGCCGATTTCTTCGAAACTGTGAGGAGAAGGTGCATAAAAATCAACAGCGAGAAGGTGGAAAAACAAAAAACCCCAGAAACACAGCTTATCTTTGTATTTTGATACAAAGGAGAACAAAATTCACTTCATGCTTGATGCGAGCGTCCACTGTCATACCAGGTAAACAGCACGAGACACAGACAGCACGGACCAGTCCTCAAAGCAGCTGATGTAATCGGTCCAATCCAAACATTTAAAGGTTTTAAATTATTATCCAGCAAAAAGAACACATTTATTGGGTTTTTTTGTAATACAGCATTTTGTTTTCTGCTTCCAGTTTAAAGGCCTTTCAGTTCAAGGCTCGTCATGAAAACCTTAACATTGTCCTGATACTTAAAAAAAGCATCTTGAATTACTGAAGGTTAAGTCCAAACCTAAGAAATATATAATGAATACATTCAGTTCATCTCAATTGTCTGTAATGGGGTGTGATTGATATGTGAATAAAACTAAACAAACTAATAAAAACGTACACTGTGGTGAGGTGGCCGTATGAGAAAGGGACTCGTTTCCCTTTCCGATTATCGATTATTTTAAAACTTGCATACAAACAACCCTCGTTCGCGACAGGTTTTTGGCATTTTAGTTACCACTTCGATAAATGTACATTAAGAAGTGGATGAATGCTAAATTACTTAATGGAAAAAGATGACTAGAAAATACTAGAGTAAACATCAAATAAGCCAATGTTTTCATCAATTCTGCCACCAAAAGTGTGGATTTTTTCTTCTTCTTCTTTTTTTAAAATAATTGATGGTTTGTGTGAAACACTGGAGTGCAATGGTGATGCTTTCCGACGACTGGCACTCAGAGAAAGAGAGAAGAAGAGGGAGGACCTGAGAGAGAGGCCCATATTTGAGTAAAGAAAGGAGTCGGGCTTGAAAAGACCAGAAACATCGTGACAGAGAGGAAGTCAGAGAGAAAGACTAGAAGGAGCAGAATGAAAGGAGGTTTTAAAGGGAGCGGCAGGTCATGGATGCCTCAGACGGTGAAGATAAGGGAGGAGAAAATGGGAGGGAGAGGAGGCAGACCAAGATACGTGGCTCCCGTTTGGTAGTCCTTAGTGTGGCTTTTCCTGCTTGTGTAAAGCACATATCCAGGCAAGGGGTGATCTGTTCTCTATAGTCTTGTGTTATCCAGGCTTTGAGTTGGGTTTGGGGGCATGAAGGAGAAATGGGAGCTCTCTCCTCAGTAGTCCTCCACCCAGCCGTTCTCCTGGATAAAGGCGTCTATCACTTCCTTCATAGCCAGGTTGGGGATCAGCTGATCCTGGGTCAGGGGACTCCTGGTGACTGGGTCAAAATGACCAACTCGCTGCACAGGGAACACGTTAAGACACAGTGTTAGCGTCAATGGATGATTTTATGAAAATAAGAAAAAAAAGAAGCACATGTGCGCTATGAAATGCTACTCTGGCAGAATGAAAACGTGCTGCTGGACATTACAGGTCCTCCTTTACCCTTATTTTAATTATAGATTAATTATAAATGTGCAGCATACGTTGAAATACAAGACAGAAGGCAAATGAGAGTTTGTACAATTCTAGGGAGCTCGAACTTCAATATTTGGCATGACCATCTTTATTTTTCAGCACAGTCTGAACACAGTCTCAGCTTTTGTCGTTTCTGTAAGTAGCCGTCAAGACGCACTGATGACAATCTGAACCAGAAAAATTTGGAAATTTGGATTAATTCACCATGTTTCATAGGTTCAACCACAGGAATTTGAACAAATGATGTGTTTATGAGACAGGCTGCTAGTGAAAAAGAGCTTAAAGATACAATTTAAATAGTGTTTTTTCCCAGGGTGGGGCGCACTGTGTGTGTGAATGGGTGGATGACTGGTTGTGTAAAGCGCTTTGGGGTCCTTAGGGACTAGTAAAGCGCTATACAAATACAGGCCATTTACCATTTAGACACAGCACTGGTTCCTCCTTTGAGTTAGGTGCTTTTTCTATGCTTTATGTTGCTTAAACAAAAAAAGAAAACAAAACAAAAAAGGCATTCATATGAATACTGAGTGAAGAAGCAGCAGGTCCCCATAGACAAAAGTTGAAAGAGCTTCAGGAAGCCTAAAGAACTATTGTTTAAGACGGCTTAAAAAATAAAAAAATTAAAAAGTCAAGAAGCGGGGCTCAAGACTTTTGCACAGCACTGTAAGCAACAATCATTTCACCTGTAGGTGCTCTTCAATGTCCTTACGATCATAGGTGATCCCACTGGGTGTGATGCAGGGCTCCCTCATCAGCTCAAAACTGATCTTCCCACAAAGATAATCAGGAATCTCTCGCTTCTGACGGGAACAAACAAAATACAAAGAAGCATCACTCTGACCTAATACTGAGAGATCCTGTTCCCCTAAAATCAGGGGTGTCAAACACAAGCCCCGAGGGCCAGAATTGTGGGTGGGTTTATGTGGCTCACGGTGTAAACTCTCATAGAGCCTAGAGTCACAGCTTAAACTGTTAATTTTTTCTTGCTATAAAATGGTAACGAATTATAGCCACAGTAATCTGTTTTCCTTTCTCACCCTTTTCAGCTTTTTTCTATACCAATTATATATTAAAGCCTGTCGACAGAAGTGCCACAAACCCGAAGCTACTGAAGTTGAAACTCTTTGAGTCAACTTTTCTCTAAGCAGAACACCTTCTGAGCCAGACGGGAGAGAAACACTCGGCAGACGCGACGGTGTCGTTTCAATTACATGACAATTGCCACAGCCGACAACTATCTATAGCGAGAGCCTTGGCACACAAGCAGTGACCGTTACCATAGGAACAGCAGCAGTCGAAAACAAAAAGTAGCTGTTTATCTGAAGTCTAAGTGGATTTTTAAAGAGATCACAAGCCTTATGTCAACATGTAGCCTGACTGCAGACAGAAACAAATGTGTGTATTTACAGTAGGTATGCGTGTACTGTTAGCATCTGTCTGTGTTAGCCAAGCTGCAGGCTAATCACGGATTTGTCAGCGTTGCACGAGTACGAAGCATTAGTTAAAAATCGTACTCACTTTTCTTTTCTCGTCCACTTGAGAGAAGAGCTCATCCATATCCATTAGATACTTGTCCTTTCCACGTCAGGGTTTCAGAACAATCAGACATATGAATGAATATTCAATTTCATTTTAAAAAACACACCAGTTTAATATTTGTTCATTAGGGTGACACCAATTACAAAAAGTAAACAAAATGCAAAAACATACATGTTTTGAGGAGATCTTGGCAGCGTCGCCTCCATTTTGATTGTCATCTTGTTTTTCTTTGTATTCTTCTAGTTCTCTGCAAAAATAAGGAGCTAATTTAAATTTATCCATCCAACACAAAATGACACCTACATGCCAAATTATCAAAATAAAAATGAGAATGTGGTGCTTCAAAGACTCACCTTTCCTTCTCAGCCAGTATAAGTTTGGTCAGATAGGCGTGTAACTCGTTCTCCTGGTTGATGCGCTTCTCCTCAATACTGTTCCAGCGTTTTTTCTTGGCAATGCGCAAAGCACTGGGGATGTCATCTCCGAAATTCAGCCTTTGTTCTTTTGCCAGGTTATAAGCTGTAAAAGAAAAACACCGCTACAGCAACGTGGCTTCACAGTTAAAATGCTGCCTCCAGTTTGCTAAAAGCTGATATTAAAAAAAAGTTCCTCCAAAGAACAAACTGAGTTTCTCTTTTGTTCATGATTAAACTGTAGCCACCTAAGATTCACTATCAGTGTTTGCATTAACAGTGACTAACCATGACCTGCACTTATCTAACATATTTTGTGTACTTTTCTTCTTAATCGATCAGCTGCAGCCCACAACAAAGCCATGGGCTGACTTGGAAGTCAGCAGCTGCACGAAGCACTGCGATAAAGCGCTCAGGGAGTCTGCAGAGAGTTCGACCTGTAGAAATATCTGCAAGCCAAACTTGCCAAAGATACAGGCTCTCCATGCAGGGAGGAACATCCCAAAACAAGTTTGCTAAACTGGTGAAAGGCTCTCCTATACTGTGAGTTATTCCACTTTTGAAAAGTGATTTATTTCTCATTAAGTTGTGGAATTACTTTGGTCCATTTTTCACGACTGAGTAAAAGGCGGGCTTCCAGTTTTTTATAAACTAAGCGAAACTAGTAGTCACAAATCATGGTTAGCGTTAGATTGGCGTTTATATTATCACTGAATTACTTTCTGTAAAGTCTCATAACCATACATTCATAAATCATTTCATAGTGTGAAGCTTCATCCAAGAGAAGCAACCATAACACTGAGTGGAGACAAAATTCCAGCTTTCTTTCCTTCTAACATATCATTACACTGACAACAGCTCATGCAAACATATGCTGTGCCTCAGAGAAGAGCTCCCAACCCTCTGAGGCCTCACTGATCTTAAAAAATTAACTTTCACATGAATGAGGAACTGCACGAGTAAATTTGTGCAATGCACCAGCAGCATTTTCACCATCATCCTGGAGTTTTTTCTGACCTTTCTGTAGGTTCCCGATGGCCTCATCGTAGTTCTCCAGCTCCAGGTGACACTGACCCAAGAAGAAGTGTGCCTTAACTGATTGACTGTCCAGCTCCAGCGCATGCTTACAATCTGCCAGGGCTTTGTCATGCTGCTGCAGCTTCACATAGCAGAGAGCTCGGTTGGTGTAGTATACTGCCACGGATGGATTACGGTTCTGTAGAGAATCAGAGGACAATAAACGTGCATTGTAACCTCATTTTTCATCCAGAGGGAATCTGCATCCACTTCGTTTCACTTAGCTTTAATAAAAGAAGAAGAAAACAAAGACATCACTGCAGCATTTGTGTCAGAAATTACTCACAATAGCTTTACTGTAACACGTAGCAGCCTCCTGGTACTTGCGGCAGAGGAACAGCCGGTTTCCCTGCTCCTTCAGCTCCTGCGCGGTGGAACTCTTCTCCGGGCTGCCGGCCATCTTCTCCACCGGCTCCGCGGGGCCCGCCTCGCCCTGCTTCCCTATCCTGTTCCCCGTCTCTTCGGCTGGCTAAACGACAGGTTTAAGAATGCCCCGTCCTTCCTGGGGTCACACACACACACAAAACAACAAGAACAGAGACACAGTTTCAGTGAACATGCACTGCAATGCACCTGCAATGCGCGTCTTGAGCGAATTAGGTGCAGTGGGTTGATGCCACCCAAAAGGCATCCGTTTAATTTGCTGACTGCGCTCACAGCTGAAAACTACAGCGAGGTGGCTGCACCGCCGGCGAGTTAACTATTCATGTGACGGACATCAGAGGCGAGTCAATGAGCAGCACAGCTGGCTATCACCAAACATCACACAGCCGCGGTCCTTAGAATTGCATTTAAGCGCAGTGTTACACTGAAAGCTGTAGACGAACAGTATTAACAAACTATATCGACATTGTTTTACTCACTAAAACTGAAATACAGCCGTTACACAAGCGCACACACACGGACAATGCTGCTAACTCTGGTCACCAGCAGACAAGAGATCGCTGCTATGCTAGCATGGCTAAGCTAGCTCAGTAAGCAATATTGTCGCTCAATGCCGGGTGGCTGGCTAGTTTGAAGACAGTAAAGCTCACTCACTCGATATAACCAGCAGCTAGTTAGTAGGTTAGTTCTGTAACAATTGTGGGACTGAAAGAGTCGCCTCGACATTTGTTAACCACAGAAAAGAAAAACCAGCTAACGCTACGTTAGCTTATTTTCCACACAGCTCACTGAGGTTTAGTTTAGCTTCTGTCCCGTACAGGGTTTGTTTCGCGGTTATACGGTTTTCAACTCTTACCTTTCAGCAGGAATCCCACATCCAAGAGAAACCAGTTTTATGTAACTCAAGATCAAATCTTTAATCGATTAATTTTCCCCCCATACGAGCTGTCATGACAGGTTGTTGTTATGCTGACGTCAAGCGCTTTGACGCGAACTCGACGGAAGCCGGGAGTATGACCATGTCTATACAGCGCATACCCTTAAGTTCACCCAGTTCACACCACATCAATATGAACTTCCGATTAAATAGACAATTAAATACGACCATCTAACTGTATAAACAGTTTCTATAAGCATAATTACGAGCTGCATACATACAATCGGTCTTCTAAGGTGTGCATTCTTCTTCTTCTTCCGCTTGCTCCCTTTAGGCTCCTAATGGAAATCTAACCATCTCTTGTGCTATTCTAGTTCCTATTGTTGGTTACTGTCTCTTTCACTTCTTAACTAGCCTACTTCAGAGGAGACACGCTTAATTTTAACAATCTACATTCATTTGAATACATTTCCTTTAAAAAAATATTATATGTGAAAATTAATCATCAAAATCTACAGTTAACAAAAAGGGACCAAACCTTTGTGCATCTCAAAATTGCATCTGTGATGATATGAAAGAGGTAATATATCCACCCATTCTGTCTCCAGCGTGCTCTTAAATGACTGCTACAGCCTTCTGAACTTCCACTGTGGGAAAAATAAAGAAAGCTAATAACTGAGAAGAGAAGAATGACTGCTTTTGCGCAGAGCAAATTAAAGATTAAAAAGTAGAAATTTCACACTGATTATCTTGGATGACTTATATTAATTCATAAAGTTCATACATAAAAATCAACGCTGTCACAGGGATGAGGTCACAAGTTCTTACAAGAAAACAAAACCATGAAACATTTTGCACTTAAATGCCAAAGAAATTGGTTTAGTTCAACTTCAAATACAAGAATAAAAGCGCTTCTCCGAGTCAACTGACACTGAGAGGAGGGCTGATGAAGACTAACCCATCCTTGATAAAATATGTATTATATTAAATCTGCAGTGTAGAGGCTTTGCAGACCTGAAAGCTGGAGGTTCAACCGGCTGCACAGTTTCTGTCTCCCTATAGAGTCAAACTGTGTGCATGCACCTCAGCAGGCAAATACATAAGACCTGTGTGTGCTTATGAAAGAAACAGAAAAGATGAAAGACTTATGGAGCTGGCACAGGAATAAGAAGTGCTCCAGGGACTGGAGGGTGGAGAAGGATGCTGTTTGTGTGGCCCAGCATGGACATCAGCAGCTTCCTCTGTGTCCAGCCTTTTCCAGATCCTTCCTCCACCTCCTCTCTACTCTCGCTCCATTACCTCGTCACTTTCTGTTTTTATTGCCGGTCCACCTTTTCTCTTTCTATCACTCCCTCGCCCTATCTTCCTACCCACTTCTTTCACATTATGTTATTCGTCTTTCTTTCTCTTTCCTCCTTCTTTCACGCTTTTACCCCCTCTGTTTTTCTGTAATTCACCACTCTGTCTTTCTTCTGTTATTCTTGTGCTGTTTCTTTACCTCTCTCTCTCTCAAAAAATCTCCTCCCCGCACCTCCACCTGTGAGTGTTTGTACTTGGAGTTGAGTTCTCCTCATCTTTATGTGTGTTCTCCCTGGGATGCACATACAGATACAGTGTACAGCCTGTTTGGTTCATATCAACTGAACATGTTGTGAATCAGTGAGCCAGCAAGAAACAGACACAGAAGAAGGAAGTCTATTATTTCCTAGTCAGCTGCTCCAGCCTCTGTAAGAGTTAGATCATTATCCTGAAGAAATCCTGCAAGCATATCATATCAATTTAACAGAGAACTGTTAAGATTATGTTTTTCCATAAACTTCAGGAAGGCACCTACACTCACTGACCCCTATTTTGCCTTCAGAACTGCCTTAATTCTTCATGGCACAGATTCAACAAGGTGCTGGAAACATTCCTGGTATATTTTAGTGCATACTGAGATGAACGCATCGCACATTTCATGCAGATTCGTCAGCTGCACATCCATGATGGCAATCTCCTGTTCCACAACATCCCAAAGGTGCTGTGTGGGTTTGAGATCTGGATCCATGTTTCCATCTGTGACCCCATCTGGATGTTGCCACAGAACCCGAGACTCATCAGACCAGGCAACATTTCTCCAATCTTCTGTTGACCTGGTGTGGTCTTCTGCTGCTGTAGATCATCTGCTTAGAGGTTTGACATGTTATACATTCAGAGATGCTCTTCTGCATTCATCTGCTGTAACAACTGGTTAAATTAGACTCAAAGCAGTCTGTCCATTCTCCTCTGACATCACCCAGAGAACTGCAGCTGATTGGATAGTCTCTCTTTTTCAGACCATTCTCTGTAAAATGTAGAAATGGTTGTGTGGCAAAATCACTTTTCCTCCCCATTCAGACGCTCAGTTTAAACTTCAGCAGGGCGTCTTGACCACGTCTACATCCCTAAATGCATTGAGATGCTGTCATGTGATTGGCTAATGAGATATCAGTGCATCAAAATATCATCTCAATCTCAGACGTACTTTCCACTCATTCTTTTCTGATTATAATTAAAATATATATAATTTAATTCCTCAATGATCCCTCAGTTTTTTCCCCCTATTATTTTTGCACTCTTTACTGCACTACTGTTCTCTGCCTACTGTACAGCTTTACATGCATCATGTGGCTGAAGAAGAGAAGCACAACCTCAAATCACCAGCAGGAGGCGCTGGATGATAAAACTTCTTCCAAACATCTTTTCTTTTTAATGGTTAAAAAAGTTTCTTTGGTACTGGAGAAAATTAAAATAAAAGTGAACGAAGTAAAATTGTACTAACATTAAAGTAATACGTGATGTGCAAAAATATTCAAAACCTTTCATCACAGTTGTGGTTTAATATGCTCAAGGAGGGGTCCGATTAGGGAAATAAATTCGGCATATATGCGAGTTGACATCCCACCCACAGAGAGGGCTATAGATGACCTTTATGGGCCTTTATCATATGCACAACATTCAAGTTTAGCAGTGGAGGAATTAGCAAGATGCGATTGAGGACAGGGTCACTTTCATCCCAGCCTGCTGGGCCTCTGTAAAGACGCCACACAGAGATCAGTGTGTGAAGATTAAGCCACATCTCCTGAGCAAACACACTGATAGATGTGTGAAGGGGGCCTCTACAACACAGGACCACCAAGCCCTGTGTGTCCCCCAGCTGTGTTTACCTATCTCCACTGGCCTGGTCCCCCGATCCTTCAGAACACCCACCTATCTAACTAATCTGTAGGTCACAAGAACACAAAAGTCTTCCCTCCTGATTTTAATTGAAATGGACACAATATCAGAAAAACTTTCACAGTTTACTGCAGGAAAAAAACTTTAATAAACTCAACGTAATAGTTTTTTTGTTTGTTTTTTTAACAAGTGAGAGTCTATTTAAAATGTTAATGAATTGCACTTACATCTTAACTGTGTGATTTAAAATAGGTGTTACATGTCAGCAATAATTTTATGTAAGAAAATCTGTTGTATGCACTGTTACAGGTTTGTGAGGAATCAGTATTACCTTCTTTCACATGTATTTTCTTATTTACTTAGATTCCTTCTTTATTTGCACCCAGTCCAGTTTTCTCAATGCACATCAGAATCCTGTCTTTTAAGAAAAGATGATAATTATACTCTTATAATATATCTTTAGTGTTTGTCTGTACAGCAGGGATGGCTCGTTACTTTACCCTGGAGCAAAATGATGAGGGACAGTAACACTTTCTAATACGGCCCATATTAGAGCCCAATATGGCACAGGCCATAATCTTCCCTTTTTACATCTCTATTTTTATATTCATTGTGTTGATGTGCATGATGGATGTTTTATTGTTCAGTTGTCTTTTTATTAATTGTCCTTACCAGCATACTTATCAAATAAGCAAAAATAAACATTGGAAAATTAGGCCTACACTGCAAATAAATCATATCTGGAACTGCATTCCCAGAAATGTAAGTGCATTTGATTTGCAAATGCTTTGGTCATTGTTGAGTTTTTGCAAGAATAAACATAAACACACCCTCTTCAGACAAATTTATTAAGGAAATTTGAAAGGGATTGGCCGTAAAAAAGTACTCGATCAGTTTTCTGTGCATTTCCCAGGTGTAAAAATCTATGTAAACAAAGTTGCATGCTAAAAAGGTGGGAGAAAGTGAATAGATTTGGTGCTTATCAATTAAAATGGTCCGCTGTGTTTAAAGTATTCATTGCTTACATTTAAACTCCCTCCATCACAGCTTTTCACCAACTCCTCCTGTCCAATATACCAACCGTCGTCAACCCCCCATCAAACCCAACGGCTGCCCACTGCACCAGCTGGCCGCGCTTCCAGTCACCTTGGCAACGAGACCAGGAAGTTGCCCGGCTCCTCTGGCACAGCTGAAAAGCTGCCACTTCCTGATTGAGTCTGGTCTTTCTTTCTCTGTGTGTAGTCGTTTTCCCATTTGGCAGTGGTCTCCACTATTTAGCGCCAAAAAGCCTGAAAAGACAAAAAGAAGAAAAAAAAAGGGGGGTGAACACACTCTCCTTAGGACTGAGCGAAACCCCAGGTTCAAAACGGGAGACACAAAAGCAGCATTTATCCACAGTGGTGGGTCTTAGGTGGATTTGCTCATTTTGAACAGACAAACGTTTTATAGACTTATGGCAGTTTCTTCAAGTGGGTCTGAATGCAACGTGTACAAAACAGTAGAGAAATAAATGCACACAAAGTAGTTCTACTTTGTTTTCTATAAGAAGATCAACACAGGAAAAGAGTAAATTATTCATGTTCACAGATATATGTCTAAAAATGTTTGCAAACACACTGCAATCTGACTGCTTATTCATGCATAAATGAACACACATCAAGCTCTCTGTTAGAATTTTCCTCTTCATGTCCATTGAATTAGCCTGCTCCTTTGGTCAAATGCATAAACTTGAAGATCCATCAGGTATTTAACGTCACTTCCTGTTTCACCCAGCTGGATCTTTCTGACCTGAGACACATTTGATCAATTTGTAAGAAGTTTATATTCCCACAATAACACAGATGATTTTTATTTTTTGCCTTTTTTCACAAATTTGGTACGAGCGGCCCTCTGTGTGCAGGACGTATCTTCATTTGACAAACAAATAAATGCAGTGGT